CTTTCACCCTCATTACAAGGTTCTTTAATTCCTCCCCACTAACTGCCATCAGAGTGGTGTCATCTGCATATTGGAGGCTGTTGATATTTCTTCCGGCAATCTTAATTCTGACTTGGGATTCCTCCAGTCTAGCCTTCCACATGATGTATTCTGCATATACGTTAAATAAGCTGGGGGACAAAATACAGCCTTGTCATACTCCTTTCCCAATTTTGAATCAATCAGTTGTTCCATATCTAGTTCTAACTGTTGCTTCCTGTCCCACATATAGGTTTCTCAGGAGATAGACAAGGTGGTCAGGCACTCCCATTTCTTTAAGGACTTGCCATAGTTTGCTGTGGTCCACACAGTCAAAGGCTTTTGCATAGCCAATGAAGCAGAAGTAGATATTTTTTCTGGAACTCTCTGGCTTTTTCCATAATCCAGCGCATATTAGCAATTTGGTCTCTAGTTCCTCTGCCCCTTCGGAATCCAGCTTGTACTTCTGGGAGTTCTCGGTCCACATACTGCTGAAGCCTACCTTGCAGGATTTTGAGCATAACCTTCCTAGCGTGTGAAATGAGTGACTAGGTGATCTATAACAAAGAGGAGACATACCTCTGGAGGGGGCAGGTTTGGGAAAGGCTAAATTAAAGCCTTGCCAAGTTTGACAAATGGAGGCACAGAGGCCTCCAGTTTTAACCCAATCATCCATGATGCCAAAAGTCAACCCAACAGATTGCAAGGTGGAACTCTGAATGCTGCAAAAAGCTGAAAAACATTGCACTGGCTGTAACAGTAACAAAGAGAATACATGTGAGTGAATCCAGATGGCTCAATAGATGCAACCTGCCTACAGGATGACGTTTTTACACCAAATTCTTCAAATTGTTATTTCTAAATTACCCTGTTGAGGTATAAGTTTTTTTCCCTTGCAGGCGACAGCAGTTGGTGATGATACTACAGACCATTCAATGGAGCTCAGAGGAATCTGTGCAGAAGTTTTTACTTCAGCAGCAGTAAAAGATTACTCCCAGGAAAGGGGAACCGTGAAGTGCATAGCACTTGCATTGGATAACAGGGAAGAGGAATTGATTCCAATATGGTTCTTTCAGAGCAAACCCAGTGGGAGAGAATTAAGCTCCACTGTAAAGCATGCAACCTAAGAATGTCTGATCCAGTCTGCAGCATTAAATCAAGTTTTCTTCATGGGCTGTATGAAAAATTCATCATATAGAAAGCAGTAGTAATACTTGCATAGTTATGTGACACAAGATGGGGAGAAAATCTTTTTGGCCAGAATAGAATTGGGGTGTGTGTCAAATTATGCAGACTGAGAGCATATAAGCTGATAATTGCAAAACCATGTACTTATGATAGGATTCCCCACGCCTGAATATTATTTTTGTCCATATAACTGCCCTTCTATTTTAAGACTATGGCCCTAGTGTCCCTGTTGCCTGCGGCTCAAGTCTGTTTAGAAAGATTTGAAGATGCACATAACGTGTTTCTGTAGGTCTCCTTCTTACAATGTTTTATTATGTGAGACCTTTCAATATGTTGATACAGGTAGTGGTATGAGATTTGGGAGGCAGGGATCCATGGATTCATCTATGTGTGCAGGCAGAGGATTGGGCTGGTTTTGGCTGAGTGGAAGCCCATTTTGTGCTGTTTTGGTCAAGAAACGGGAGCGTTTCTTGACTCTCGTGAAAGGGAAATCACTCCTTCAAAGCTGTTGCTTGCATCTGGAGCAGATTCCCAATTGGTGTCAATGGAAGCGATCCTCACCACCACCACCACCATCCATGGCAATCAGAAGCAGCGAAGAAGGCATTTTTGTCAAGATTGCAGCAAGGGAGAAAATGCTTGGAAACCCCTACCTGGAGCCATCCTAATAATTATCAAACAACCCACATCCCATGTCAGCAAACG